GGACAACTCCCTTCGTGGTAAAACTTTTAATGATGATGACGCTGTAAAATCTCACTTAACTCAGTTTTTGGCCGAAAAGGATCAGACTTTCTACGAGCGTGGAATTTTCAAGTTGTCAGAGAGATGGCAAAAGGTCATCGAACAAAATGGAAAATACATTACATTAGATTAAACTTCATTCCAAGTAAAAAAAAATTTTTTATTTCATTGAACAAATCGGCAATTACTTAGTTGCCAACCCAATATAAGCTACGATAGTATGATATACAGTGAGGATAAAAACTGAGTCAACGCCTTTTAAAACGGTACGTCGCTTTTAAAACTGGTCTAAGTGACCTGAATTTTTCCATAAGTAAAGGGACTAGTTCACTGTACAATGACCAAAATACTTTATTTAACTTCATCTTTCCTTTAACTTTCTTTTAACCATTACTTGGAATCAAATGAATATAAGAAAACTCTCGTTCCTTCACCTTTTTTATCTAAGCTATAATGAAAATTTTAGAAATACATTTGGTACTTTTCGGTCATTTATATACGTGTTGAAAATTTCATTAAAATCGTTTGACGGATGGTCAAGGTTATTTCAAATGATCTTAAGAATCACCTCTTCCCGGATGTTAACCCTTTGCACTCGAAGCCAAATTAACGCAAAATTTATAATAATTTTTCTAACCTACAGTATTTCCATTTCATATAACCTAGCGCATTTTATACATATGAAATTGAATTTTGTGACTCATACAACAGTTTACGCTTTTAACAGCCCTTCAAAATATAAACAAATTTAATTAATAAATTTATTTCGAAACATGACATAACAATTTTCAATGGCGCCTTGGAATCGTCACTCGAGTGCAAAGGGTTAACACAATTATGTCTAGTAGTATGTACGGTCTAAGGCAAGGGTGTCGAACTCAAAAGCTAACTTGGGCCAAATAAACAATGCTTAACTTTAGGTGGGCCGCAAAGAAAAAAATCAATGTTCATAGAAACGAATATTTTTATTTTGACTAGTACATTGTAATAAACATATATAAAGTTAAATTATTGTTTACGTCCTCATACTTGACATCTCATCTCTGATACTATCTTTCCTATTTCGGGAGAAATTTGATTGGCCGAGACTACTTTCAAAATTTCTAATTCACATTTCTATTTTATTTTCACTTTGCGTCGGATATATTGACTGGGCCGCAAAAATGTTCATCTCGGGCCGCGAATTTGACACCCATGGCCTAAGGTCTAGCCTATAAAATATTATAGTCATCTGATGTATACTAAACCATCTAGCTTTTCTAAAGTTTCAAGTCGACCGATTCGGAAACGTGTTGGTTTTATCTCTACGTTTAGTCCAAACTACCTATATCTCGAAGAATGAAGAGCTTCATTTCATTCGACTTAATCTCGTTTCGTTTACGGCTCCAGCTCGCAACGTTGACACTATTTGTACACTTAGGAGGAAAACGAGGCGGCAGCTTCGAGCCCCGGGCACTGACAACTTCGCGAACAAAAGTACCTCGAACGCGGGGCAGATAGAGGAAAAGAAAGCGACGGGAATCGATCGAGTTCTTCCTTTTGCTTTTGTCATTTTTCACCTGCTCCCGACGCCGACGCCGACGCCGGACGTCGCTTTATCGGACAATTTACAGATACCGGCCAGTCGGGGAATCCTCCGGGGAAAATCGCGTTCCCGCGGAGACACGCTCGGCCAACGGAACGCACTCTCCGCCATTAGTTTGAACAAAGCGACGATGTAGTTTCGACCGAAGTTTTCGGGCAACTTCGCCGCCGTTGTCCCTCCGCGCCACACACCTAGGTACAGTGATTTCATTTCGAATTCCTATTGCTGTCGTCTTAAGCTGTTTCCTTCCCTCGACAGGGTCAGAAAATATGAACATCCTCGCGCGAATCGAAGTGGATTCCGCTACGAAAGTTCTTTCTGGAATTTTATTAAAGTCCAGATTTCTTTGAATATTGATATTAACCCTAGAAAGATAACCATATGACAACGTACGTAAAAGATAACCATACGCTTCAGAGGCGCATGCTTTTCTAAGGCGTCAATTTTATACTAACAATGGATATTTATTTAAGTTAATCTAGTCATTTTAAAGGTTTGGCATTATTGTAAAAATAAAATGCATTTATATTATATTTCTTTATATTTTAAGTAATTTTAAACTTAAATCACTAGACCTCTATGAAACATTAACAAAAATCAACAGTCTTCGGTTTATGGGAACAAATCCCGTAAAATATCACAAAAAATAGTGTTTTATCCTTACAAACTAGTAGACTATAATATAATCAGTGTAAAAAAAACTATAATATTATAAAAAATTTCTTTAGAGACAGTCATGACAAACGTCTTTCTTGTGTTCACCACAAACTGTCTTTTTGCATTTGGCACAGGTCATCTTTGACATTCTTTTCTTTTTAGACGTGCAAAGACTGCAATAACGCCTTTTTTTGGCTGAGGGTTCTTCTTCATCATCTGTGGAAGCCTGTACAGCAGATTTTGGAAGAATATTTTCAATGTTGCTTCGCACATGCCTTGGCAAAGTGGGTGCTTCCAGTCTTTGCGTCATCCACGGTGCAGTCAGTTGTTTATTTCGCAGGCGCCTCTGCGACGTAGGTTATCTTTCTCGGGTTAAAATAA